ATTATAAACACGTTCAGAGAGAAATTTCGAAAATTCAAGGTCCCAAATCACCTTCGCTCCAGTGCTGGCAATTCTACTATACTCTCAACACCTTTTCTAAAGTGTTCTGCGTTTATATACACAAGAGGAGCTGAGAATCTAACGCAAACCACTCCGTCGCGAATAGCGGCGTCTCTGTAAGAAATTTTTTGGAATTTTGAATGATTGTAGCAAAGTAGTTTCTTACCTATACTTTTCAATGGGTTGGAAGTAGGTCTTACCCTCACTGTGGCTTAATCGACCAATTTCGACTACCTTCGAGCTAGAATATCATTTACTTCATAATGATAAGCGATGTGCGAGGAAGTAATGGTACTGACTTCATAATGCCGAATATGAGCAAAGCAGCAGCGAAGACTACGCCGATCATAAGCCCCTCAATTACGTCGTAGAGTACTGTAGCAGCGAAACTCACCAGAAAAATTGCCTAGAATTGCGTTTTGTTTAACGTGCTAAAGGGGTTTTAGACTCGTCCAGAATCGTGCCAGCACCGTACATGCGCCCGCTCAGTACTAAGCAAGGCCTTGCATACGGATCGACTTGCGATACAGTTCCGGCACGGCGCTGGAACGACTCTAGCACAAGCAACTCTAAACGCAAATGACTAGTCCGACTTACACAGTCTATTTTTGACATCGACCATAATGTTTTTATAGTCCCCAACTGCATGAACATTCCTTTCAGTGCGACTATGATGATACATGATAGGAAGCAGACTGGCAATACTTCAATGAATGGACCAATGAAAAATATGACAGCTAACAGTAAAATGGATGAAAAGACTGTGGCTAGCTGGAAGTGTATCATGTTGGAACATTCAGTGTATCAAAACAGAATAAATTTGTTACCTGTGTTTTTGTCCCGGCAGCTTCGTAGACTAGCGTGCGAGCTAGTGCTGTTGATGCTGGCCAAACGGGAAAGGCGGAGCAGAAGATTTGCATGAATCCCATGGCATAGAATTCCTAGAATAACTGTCAGAATAAAAGTTCGTCAACCAAAGTGATGAGAGCCTAATCATTAGGTGAAGGGTGGAGCTATCTTAAGTGAAAATCATTTTTTGAAAGATCCTGCGGCAACGTCTAGGGTTGCACTGTGCCACCGCCGTTCCAGCGTCGTGCCGGAGCTGCGTTGGAGCGGCGCTGGCACATACAAGATTAAACGCGCCTTAGTAGACTGTCTAGCCGTTAACCGCTCACCCATGATGTATTTCACTACAATCTTTAAGCTATGCCTATTCTCAAAGCATTTAGACTTTTGTTTGTACCTGCCTAACGTCGATTTCATAATTGTGCTTCTTCGCAAACAGCTTCCCCATCGATACAGTAACCACGAAGCTCACTACTGCTATAGCGAGAGCGTCACCCATTATATAGCCAAAGAGTGAAATTCCAGGTAGTGATGGCGATGGCAGACTGCAAAAGTAGGATCACGGTAAAGTTTACCAGCTCCTTACCACCTACCCTGTGGGTATGTGTCCTACAATCTTCACACCAAATCGAGAGTTCAGATTCACAACGTAAGAGACGATTGTACCAATGATCATCTAAGATATACAATAAACTGTGATCCAGAAGAAAATATAGTGAAGAGCCTACCACGAACAGATCATAAGGAATTGGTATGCGACATCTTTTCTTAATCATCGGATCTATATACGATTTGATGAAGAAAAGAGTAGCAATTGTACTTATGGATAGAGCAAAAGTGAACCAGTTTGCCATGCCAGCAAAAATACTGTTAAGTAAGTCCTTGTACGTCTGAATAAGTA